CGGACTGCCACGGGCGGGGCCCGACCAGTCTGCGCGACGCCACAACATCTAGTCTACAACGTAAATTAAGTCGTCTCACTTCCTTTTATGATCTCAGTCGGTACAATAAACATAATAGTTGGATCGTTAGTTGAATAGTTAACCAGCGGAAGTGCCTCAGTATATTCGGTAATTGGCTCTCGGATAATATCAATAAAGTGTAACGTATAAAACTGCCTTCATAGCGTTTTATATTTTTTTAATTGTAGATGGCGAGGGCGCCGGGCCGCGGACGTAATGGTGTGTTGGACACAAACCGCTTCTGTGATGTTTTTGCTCTAGTGATATTATGTATCGTATCGTTCGGTTAGGCACAAATTATATCGACACGGACGCTCCGTACTTGCGCATGACGTCGGGACGGGAAGGTGTACGACGCGGGTTTGTCGCTCGACTGTGTAGTGAGAGTATTCCTGTATTTTATAGTATATTTTTGCCATTCATTTAGCGTCGGTCTGTTTTATCGTCAAAGATATGATAATAATTGTATATAATATAAGAGATGATGTATCGTTGCTTGGCGCGGGGAGCGCGGCGGCGGCGGCGAGTTGCTTGCCTGCTTCTACTATGTTACTAACGCTGATATGAGTAAGGGAACTAGTTGTAAGTTACTAGCTTGTTTCTCGGTGAAGAAGTGAAAACCTCTGACCAATTTGCCTTGGGTATTGTGTAGCCTTTTAGATTCTCACGATCGAGACGAATCATGTATAGCGATGCAACATATAGCTTTCAGATGATTATATTTTTGTTTTTCGTAATTTTTGCGTAATGTTAGTCACTCTCCTATCTCTTATTATGGTGTTATTATCGTTAATTTTTATATTTTATGTGATTAATTATATTAATGTGCTTCAGTTTGTGAGGTATATGAAAATTGCTGTTTGAAGTGCAGGCAACTTTTGTAGTTTCATTGTCGTATTAAATAAAGTCATAAATACTAATGAATTTGTGTTTTTTCTCACTTAGTTCTTCTCCCCTCTTTCCGAATCTACTTACAAAATATATCATAAATATAAGAGATCACAGCGGCATAAGATTGCCTGCAATACAACTAACTTGAAGGGCTGACAAACTTAGTTTTCTCTGTAAACCAATATTTTATTCAGACTGATTTATGAATAAATAAAATACAATTTACAAATATTTACACCTTAAAAAGTTTTCTCTTGTTATAAAGTTACATGTATCGACAATGTCAATAGTGACATGCGAGTACTACGCCCGACAGAATCAACCTTGTAACCGCTGCACAGTGTGGTATTTGAACGATCTGGGAGGCAATAAGTCCATTTTACAAAACTTAATGTGGGTAGAAGTATAAAGTATCTCGTAAATGTTTACTTACCAATGCACCTCAAACTGTCATTATTTTCATCTTAGTTGCAAAAATTTACTTGTGTGGTCAGTCGGAATTTCGTTGTCATCTAAGATATATTTTTCTTGTGTTTTATTAAAAAAAATCGTTTACTTATAATAGTCAATTATTTTGTTTTGGATTATAATTTCAAGTGAAGTGATATGTATTATTTTATGGCAGGTTAGTGTCTACACTTAACAAATATTTTTAACAGGGTCGATTACTTTATGACTGTTGGACAATATTATTTACGTAACCCTTTTACAATATCATAATTTGCATATATTTTGAAATATCGAGGATAGTAAGTAATACTTCCCGGGGTTTCCCGGCAAAATAAAAGAATGTACAACAAACTTTGATCATTGACGTATAAGATTTCGTTTAAAACGGTCACGGAATCACTTGATTTTTGGAAAACAGGGTGTCCAAACTTTTTAATGTGAAAATGTTATTTATTTCATACATATTATTTTTT